TAAGCTGTGGATGAAAGAGAATTGTCACCTTTTCTTTTTTTTTCCAACTTCGATATCAGCACTTCCTTGAGGTGACCAGTCCTTTTTCTCCGTTCAGTTCAGAGGATGTATAAGCGCTTACCGTTTTCAGAGCTTTTAATTTATTTTAGGAAACAGAGCAAGGGAGTGGAAAGGAGGAGAGAACAAATCAAAAAACCTACTGGCTTTCATATGACGTGTCAAAATGATCCCCTTTACACAGGTGTCCAGGTATGAGAGTTACTAGCTTGAGCAAAAAGGCTTTCCAAGTAAATGAAGGATTCTGCATCTCCCTGAGACGGGCAGGACAGGGCAGTTGTGGTGCAGCTCTTCCTGAGCAGATGTGGCCGGTACCCTGGATCCCACTGTGTGAGCAAGAGTTCGTCACTGTGAAATGGCGGGTGACTGTGGTTGCTCCCAGAGCACAGTTGGAAGTGGAATGAGGAAGGTGAATGTATCTTTTGTGTGAACATCAATTTTTTAGCTTCCTTGTGGTTCTTTTTAATAGTTGTTTTAGGATAGGAGACTAATGGTGGCTCTTGTGAGTTTTCAGAAATGATTAGATAATTTTACATGACTATCAGTGTCTAAACTCCTCAAAAGGAGTTTAAACCTGTGGCTGTGATAAGACATGTTGGAAAGTGTGTTGTGGAAATGTGTAGAAAGCTCATACTCCATACTCATGCTTTCTTGCTTCAGCCAGAATGTCTTTTCAGCTAAATCATTTCAATCCTTCACTAAAAAATACTTTTTTTTCAAGTAGGTATGGCTCTTAATTGAACAGGAATGTATGCAGTATAAATATAGACTTGAAACTATCGACAGACTTTTTAATAGCAAAGGTAATTTCATGGTAGGTAGTCCAGAGTTTGTATTAGGTTGTTGTTGCAAATTTTAAAGCCAAATTTGGATATTTTCCTTTATTTAACCACTAGTAGTTTAACCATTTTCTGTGAAAGGAACCAATTGAAATTGAAACCCTATGTCGTTTGCTAAGCAGATGAGACCAAATCATCACAAAGGTTTCAGACTTGAAAAATCTTTGATTCCCTGACAGACCATAACAAATTTCTAGACAAGTAATTTCAAAGCAGTGAAAGTCTCTTCTCCCCCCCAGCTCCTGCTTGGTAAGTTCACATTGGTAGACATCAGTGGTTATTTCCATTTTGCTTGTTTGAGCTAGCAGTTGGTGTTATGTTGTATCATCTTTAATAATATACATATCTGAACACAGTCCTTTTCTTTGAGGAGTGAATCTATTTCTAGATCCCACCGAGGGCTGCAGCTAGCTCTCTAAGCCAGAGCAGATGCCACTGAACACAAACATGTGCAAATGAATTTCAGTGCTGAGGCTGCTACGTGACTTCCAGGGATCCAAGCGCAGTTCAGCCTCCGTGTCCCTTCAACTCTCTGCTTCTCAGCTGGTTGAGGTGGAAATTAGGCTTTAACCACGCTCAGTTCTGTTTCTTCCTAGTCTGTCAAGGTTATTTTCCCCATTTTGCACCYGGAGCTGGCTGCAGGGGAACCAGGTGGTGGCCACAACCAGCTCAGCCTTAGGGTCTCTGAAGATCTCCAAAGCAGAGGTCTCCAAAGCCACTGGAGCTTCCGCCTGGCTGCTGCTCATCTCCAGGTCACCCGGGAGCGATCTTGCACCCTTCACRGGCTCGAAGGGATGCCACGAGACTCCCCAGGTTGAACAGTCTTAATTTCTCACAGATTCTCTGATCTTTTCCCCTTAGGTCCAATATTAGTTTTGTTTCTTGGTGTAAGGAGGCTAGACAGGGCTAGGCTGAGTAATACTGAGAGCATTTGTGGCAGGTTTCTCACTGAGAATGTGATTTCACGTGGAAACTGAGTTAGATCTTTTTTAATGGAGTGCTTCTGATTTAGCTATTAATTATTAACGTCTCCATTTTTCAGTTGTGAATAATTGCTAGAGCCATGCAGCCGTTGTTGTATATTGCAAGTTTTAGTAATGGAGCACAGTCACTATTTGTTAATTGTTGCTGTTATGCACATACTGAAACCAGAAATGTTTAAGTAGCTCTGGGACGTTAATTTTAAACACAATTAAAACTGCCTCTCCTGTTAGCAATTACTCTCCACACACTATTTTTGATATTGATGGGCCTAGATCTGAACACAGTAATTAAAAACGACTGTTATTGTTGATCCCACAGATAAACAAATTCTAATTGCRTGGTACAAACTGGTTAATTAAGTTTATTTAACCTGTCACTGGTGATTCATCCTGGCGATGAATCCCCAGTGCTTTAACGGAGCCTTATCATATAGTTCTGGCTATCTCCAGTTTGTCAAGGGCTAGGGGAGTTTGATTATTCTTTTAAACGGACCTAGGTAACATCTTGAAGAATGGCCTTACATATATGAAATAAATCCAATGTGAGGCTCAGGGCTTTACCCTTAGGCTGGGAATATGCTTTGCGACTGTACTGCTCCAACTGTTCCTTTCCTTCACAAGGAAGCCGTCCTGAGCAGCAGCTGAGGCGATTACGTTTCATCTGAGGGCAGGCCGGCTGCTTGGTTTGGTTTTTAATCATATTGGAGTGTGAAACATTTARTCTCAAGTTTTGTCAGCACTCTGCTGCCCTGCTCCAGAGGGCACCTCTGCCACCCCGGACGTTCTCTGGTGACACCCACTTCCACATCCTGCCCATGCAGGTCAATAAGACACTTCTCTCCAGGGTCTCTGTGTGCCAGGGGTCCATGTTGCTCAGACCCAGCGTTACTGTTGACAGTCGGTCTCAGCGGCCTTGCTGCAGCCACAGAAGCCAGTTTCCGATCACAGGCTTTTGCTAGTGCTATCCATCCCTGAGCTGGTCTCTGTGTGGTTTGGGCCCTTGGTGGTGGCCTTCTGCTGCCGTGGCTGTGGCCATGCCTGGTCCCATCCGCAGCGCCACCGTTGGGTAGAAGCACGTGTTGGTGGACAGGCCTTCGTGGGGTGAGCGAGGCCATGGCCAGGTGTCCTGTGGCCACCAAGTGGCCTGCGCTAGCGTTCCTTCATTTCTTAAATCTACATTTTTGAGGATTTTTAAAATATTTTTGGTATAGCTTTGAGGTTCCTGCTGCAGGTGACTGCACTGGCCTGCTTTTCCCATGAGGGGTTTCTGAGCTCTCCTTGCAGTGGGAGGTGTCCAGTGATCACTCAGTGCACAATATTCCTGCGTGAGCCCTCCTTTCATTCCAGCTGGCTGTGAATATAATTTGCAGCTCCGCTTGTCCAGACTCTGGAAAGGCTCAGCTTTAAAGACACATTCCTCACTATCATAAGAGACAAAATCAGATAAGGGGGATGGATGGCCTTCCCTTCTGGTCTTAAAATAGTCTGCAGTCAGAATTTGCACAGAGTAACCCAAGGCCAATAGAAACACTACAGTAAATACGTTGTGCAAATCGCAGGGCTCCTATAGAGGCATTCTGTTTGGAACTGTACATTGCAGGCCTTAAATGGCCATGCTAATGTTTACATTGCTTTCTTTTCCCCCCATCTTTTCTACGTTAGTATTTTGTTTTCTGTGTTGAAATTTCTGGGCCCCTTGCCAGGTTCCTGGACTATATAAAATTAATTGGTAAAAAGCAAAATAAACATTTGTAAGTGGTCATAAAGAGAGAATATGTATGTCTGAAATGAACAATAGTTTTCTTCATTTATTAATTGCTAATTGTAATTCACTCAAAAGATTTTTCCGTCTGGAATGGGGAGGAAGGGGCATGAGAAGAGTGGTGCTCTTTGAGGTTCTATATTGAATTTATAAATGTGCTCAACATTTCTGCATTTAATAATCTAAATGATATTTCTGCCAGATAGAGGTGCAGAAAGAAGGAAGAATTTTTCCCAGCCTGTCTGGACTGGAKGGGTTAGAGGTCAATTCAACCATTCAACCAACATAGTGTTGAAGTGAGYACTGAAATAAACTTGGAAAATGAGATTAATTTATGTCCTTTTAAAAAGACATCTATGATATTAGTTGTCATCCGGTGATGCAGTAGAGGGTTGGTCTAAGGGAGAGACTGCAGRTTTTTATAGGTATTTCATTTTGTTCTTAACAAAATTCAGGGTTCTTAACCAAATTCTGAAGTGGATAAACTTTCTGGTCTTAATGCTGTAAGTCAATAATCCATTTGTTCCACCAAATCTGCCTCTGTATTCTCATTTTAATAGACTAAGCTTTGATCTAGGATTCTCCACTAAATCAGTGTGGGGGGGATCTGATGGGACCTGATCTTACCCCTCTCAGCCTCCTCATTTCTGCCATGCAGCCTGGTGGATCCCTTCATTCTGGTGCAGCCTTCCTGCTCCTGATCCGCTCAGAGACTGTTATATGTTTCTGTATGCTTTGCTACTGAGGCTTCAAAATCCCTCTTAACCAAAGTTCCTGCTTACATATTGCTACCATTCATTTTTATTGGCTTCACTAAAGTTGAATTCCTGTATCTCGATTTCCCCTAACCCATTCTCTGAGCAGCTTGAAAGAATTCAATAGAAAACAAAACCTCAAAGCGCTTCTATAATGAATTACTCTTAAACTCCACGCTAGAAAAGACAGAGGAGCATTTATCAGGAATGCTTGTGGGCTTGGTGGTTATGAGCTTAAGAAAATATTCTGTGGAAAAAAGGCTTTTGTCCCATGACAGAGATTTGAAAGGCTTCGGCTTCGGATTCCAGCGGAGGCTCGGGCCTGTAATCACGCTCGCAATGCTCCCTTGGCTAAGAGGGAAAGCKGGGAGGCTCGCTCGGGGCTCGCCCGCAGAGAAGCCCATCACCTGCTGGGGCCCTGGCGGAGGAGCYGCCAGCTCCGGCCACCATTGCAGCCGGGACGGCGGCCGCTGCCGAGTGGCTCCTGGTGCTGCGGGAACGCGGCGCTCGCTTGGCGGGAGCTCTGCGCTGGGGCAGCCCCTTCCCTTTCTCCTCCCCGAGAGTTTGCTCTGGAGGTCTCCAAGCTGCGCGCTTGGGAAGTTCGGAGGGGAGAGCGTGTGCCGTAGGCAGGGACAATGGAGGAAAACGAAAGCCAGAAACTTGAGCAGTGCCCGGCTCCCTCGGCAGACAGCAGGCAGATGAGGGGTAAGTAACAGACTCAGGCAAAGATGGAGCTGCATTTAAACGTGCCCCTCGTTGCTGCTTTTTGTAACTGGAGGCAGAATGCATGGAAAAAGAGATTTTTTTTTTTTTTWAAAGCATGTCTTTCTTGCGCGTGCGGCTCTGAAGATTTCCCTAACATCTGACTTTGTAAGTTTAACTTTAGAGAGATTTCTGCTTAACCTTTAAGGCAGGGAGCCTGCTGCATGCGTGTCGGAGTCTGCAGTGCACTAAGCAGCCTGAGACGAGGGTGCTGCTCCCATGAGGAGGGAGGAATCAGGTCACTTTCTCTTTAAATGTGCCGCGTGCTTCACCTCCTGCAGGAAAGTACCTCTTCCCTTCAGGAAGGTAGATTTGAGATCGCCTTTTTCTCGGTTTGTGTTCTAAAACGCAGCGATTCACAGTAGATTGCCACAAGGTTCGTTTACTTTGTGTGAAAGCAGTTGGGCTTTCTTGGAAGGAAGCCAGGAAATTATAGGCATGGTTTTCACGTAAGGTCAGCTGTGGTGCGTTTGTACAACTGCTGCTGCGCTATATTTTGTCTAAAAGCTAATGAAAACTATTTCCTGATGGATTCTGTGTGGGATACTCCACTTGCAGCATAAAATTCAGGTAGCATGACAAATACCTGATCTAATCTGCATCTATTACGGTCCCGTGTAGAGCACCTGTGAGCATTGCCCRTTCCTGCGGATTTTTTTCCCCACTGGGATTTCAGCGAAAGTTGGGATGCAGTGTTTCCATGAGATAAGTAGCATGCGATTGGGTACATGTAGTTTTAGAAGCTGACCCAAGTTTAGGAGYGTGTAGTACCAGAGAATAATTGCATAGACAATTTAGGGGGAGAAAAATAAAAACAAAAATATTTTACCCCCTGCATTCAGTTATTCCGTATGACACTTTTCTGAATAACTTTTGWCGTTAAAATATACATGCCGTGTGCGTGTGTCTATGTGTAGAGGAAGGGAAATCTTCACTTTAGGGATGTGTCTGAATAGGAAAAAGAGCATCTAGTAACATAGTCCTTCTGTAGAGAGCGCTAACCAGATCAACCCTCTGGATCCCCCCAGACTGTAAATCCTGAGAGTTCACAGCTTACTGTGAACTTAGCAATTTGGTCCCATGTCCAAAAGTTACATTTGAAAAGCTCTTTGCAGATGGAGTTGATTGCAAAGACAGTGGAGCAAATTAGAAATAATCTTCTCAAAGGTACTGCTAGCATAAATATAACAGGGGGTTGATTCATATTGTTATATAAAAAAATTTATTTAAAAAATTTTAAAATGCGGCTTGCTTCAAAGATTGGTTTCAAAGTTTCGGTTTGGACAAGGCCCATGCTTGCTGTTTTCTAAAATTTTCTCCTCTCCTATCACCTGGATTCCAAAACAGGAATATTTAGAACTTCTTGAGAAAATCTTAAGTAATGAGGCAAAGTGGCTTTCCTGACCTGTGCAGACTTCAGGGGTGTGACTTAAGTAGAAGAGTTGCATATCGAGACATACTGAAGGACTTGTATGTCCAACTCATGGCAATTAATCTTCTTGATAATCTTCTGGATAATCCYAGGCAGACTGCTTCTACACTGCAGACTTGTAATTTTGCTGTAAATTATACCCACTGAGTAATGTGTGAAATTAAGAAATCCTGATGTTTTCAGATCAGAGAAGCATCTCAAATGCAAGAGTTACTCAAGTCTTTGGGTAACCAACATCCTCCCTTGTCAATCAGCAAGTCTTGCTCCTCATTGCCCTCTGGACTTGCTAATGGAAAGACCTTCAGCCTTCAGCTTCCGAATATGAGGGAGGGAGCAGGGAGGACAGGCTTATCTCACACTTCTGTTTCTGTGTTTTCCATTGGCTTCTATTTACTCCTTTTCCAAGGAGGGTACTTACGCAGCTTATCCTTTCTCTTCTCTTAGCTGTCTTCTGGGAACACTCACATGATCCTTCACACATTGCGCAGTTATCTGTGGGCATTGATTTTCTAGGCCTATTATCTTCACTTGAAAGATACGCGAGGTTTGCCCACGCTGTGATTGAGCAACTCCAAGACGCAGGAAACAATTCTTAGTTTCTACTCCGTGTAACACTGTGGTCCAAGCCAATGTTGTGTTGCTCACGTGGCCCTCAGGATGCGATGAGATTTCACAGYCCCAGCTTTCAACCTCGCCATCAAGGTGATTCGTCACTCTTGAGGAAATGGCCAGGGGAGAATTTTGAAACCGTCATTAAGGGGGTGACCCAACATTGCAGAACTTGAGCATTTGGCTTGCATGTCACCCAGGATGAAGCATATTATCCAGGCTAGTTTGTTTGTTTCAGATTTGCATGGAATACAGCAGTGAGAGAAGCAAAAAGAAAGTCACGTGCTGATRCGTAGTGTGAAGCAGCGGCGTCCTGCTGCATGCTGCAGGTCAGCTTGCTGGCAAGGCCAGCAATTAGTTTGCATAGTTCGCATTCCTTCCCCTTCACTGCTGCTTATACRGTATTTTCCAAATGTATGGAAAAATGGTAGAACTGGTTGGGTTTCTTTGCCTATAATGTTAGAGATTTATGATAGTTTTGGTTTATTCTTGAGGTTTCAAGCAATTATATGTAAAGGTAAAAGACTTCATATGACTTTTTAAGAAAGTCATTWAACTAATAAGCTTCAGACCATTATCTTTTTAATTTGGAAGGGAAGGGTATGGAAAGACATCTTGAGAGAGACTTAGAGCCTGAAATACACCTCCATGCACTCTCGGTTGTGTTTCTTCATAGGGGTATACCTGCCTTCTTGAGGAGGTGCCTGCAACCAATTCAGTGATTGAAACTGCTGCAGTGACAGTACTTGAAAGTTTTATACAGAATTCATGCATGTAGACACATTCCGTCGCACACACCTACACTCACTTCTTCCAACTCTAAGGAAATTCGTTATTTATGTCTGGCAGCTTTGCTTCAACAACCTCAGGAATGTAACTGCTGTGCTGCTGRGGCAGCAGCTCCCAGATGGTGAATTCCATGCCATCTTTTTCCTCCCAGGAGAGAAGTACAGCCTTCCAAAACGGTTTGCACTGAGGGCATCTGGAGCAGCCATGCTGCTTTCTTGCAGGTAGGAATTGGAGATTTGCCCCTTATCTCCAGCAGACAAAGTGTTCCTGGCACCAGTGCTCTGAACTTCCAGTAGCTGGTGGAGCGGGAGGCTTTTGTAAATTGAGGTGTGCTTGGAAAAGCCCAGCTGCCCTGTAGCCATGAGTGTCTGTGTGCGGGTGTCTGGGGCTCTGAAGTTAACACCAGGATTGTGTGTTTTAGGAGTCTTACTCAAAGTAAGCCAAGGATTTCAAGGCTGTGTTGTGTGGGGGTTTTGGCATTGCCTTTCTTCAAGGGATCGCAGTAAACTGAGAATCAAAACCTCACTTTGAAGTCTAGAGCGTCCAACACTTGGTCTTGCCAGGTCCCAGTGGGTGTACAAAGCAGGTAAAATAACTCAAGAGGCTTCATACCGTTTTCAGCACACAGCATCTCCCGGCAGCCCAGTGCCGCTCTTTCTCCGGGGCTATGGGGATCAGAGCATGAGACCTGGAATTGGCAGGAGAACAAAACTCCCCCAGGAGCCAGGGCAGTTTGGGCCCTCAGATTTTGGCTCAACCTGTTTAAAAACTAGTTTCAGGTTCTCTGCTCATCAAAACTTGGTGCAGGTTGCAAAAATGCAAATTTGGTGCAAAATCTGCAATYTGGGCTTCTGTTTGCAATTCTACTTTTGGAATAGGTTTCCATGAAAGGTAATAAGGGGACGTTGGTGATGGTGTTGGTTGTTGATGGATGTTGATGAGAGGATGTAGAGCCCCTGAGTGTCACAGAAAAGTATGAACTCTTAGAGGCAGAAACTTCCAGCTCCCAGTTCATGGGTTCCCCATTTAACCTGGTGCCTTTTCCCCCCTGCAATGGGTTCCACCAGAGGAGGATTTATGTGATACGGGAGCCTGATGCGATACCTTGGCAGGCAATTGTTGCCATAGTCCAGAAAGCTGAAATATTCTGAGAACAGCATTCTGGGGTGAGTGGTAGGCAGCGTGTCAGGCTGATGGATTGACCCCTGAAGGATGTGAGGAGGTGCCTGTTTCCAAAGGGCAGCGCTCCGCGAGGCTGTCACCGGGATAAARGGCTGCTGGTGAAAAAGTGGCAGGCGGAGAGGAAAAAACCCTGCATTGGGAACACGAAGGGGGAAACTTCCTGCTCTCTGGGCGGTTTAGTAAAGGGTTAACATTAGCAAGGACATCTGAGGCTGCACAGCAGAGACAAGGAGGGCTAYATCAGCCTTGGAGAGGCCTTTTCAATGCTTCTGTTTTTTGTTTTTTGTTTTTTCTTTCTTTGCTGACAAAAGAGCTATGGGTTTTTGAATGGTATTAGGTAACAAGCCTCCAGACTACACTTTTTCATGCACCAGAGGGTTCATGTTACACAGTTACCTGCAGATAAGCCAGCACTTGCATACTCTCTGTGTCGGCCTATCTTTTTACAAAAGTCGTTATGGTCTTCGGTCTTAAAGTAGATTTTAAAGTTATAAAATTTATCAGAGTTTTCTTCTTCTTTTATATCACACCAAACTTGCTTTTATTTTATTTCTTAAGCAATGGTTTATTGAAAAAGTGATGTATTTTCCAGCCTTCTGTCCTGAGACATATAAAATCTGAAAGAGATCCATGAAATTTAAAACCAGACCACAGTCAGAAATCAGAAGGAAAGCAAACCTCCAAACCCCTCTTATTATTTCTTATGTTTTTCAGAGCATGTTGCAAACACACTGAAAAAGGATTGAGGATTTCAAATCTGCTTTGTCAAAAGAATTTTATCAGTTGGTATCCTTMAGGATACTGGTTACAGGGCCATTAAGTGTACTGGAGCCTATTGAAGAAAACAGTTTCCTCTTGTGGAAAGCATCCTATGGATTTTAAAGGTCAGGGAGTAAGGGCCCTGTCATATCATCTTTTCAGGTCATACTGTGGTAGAGATGGGAGATGGTACAAAAGGAAGATCTGTTTTAATGATGCTCACTTTTCTGTGAGGTGATAGTGAAGTGACATGTCAAAAGTATGTAAGTACCGTGTAGCAGGGTTTATATAAATCATTATTTCTGGACCACTGGGCCACTTGTTAGATTTTATACATATCTAATAATGCCAAACAGGCCATAGATTGTACCTTTAAATTGACCTTTTTTTTTTTTTTCCTGATCCTTTTTTCCTTGTTAGTGTGAATGTGGAGATGAAGTTCTTATAAAATTGTGTTTTCATCTTTTTCAGAGCACGCAAAGCCCAGTCTGCATGTAACATCATTAGATGATGCCGAATGTCTCCGATCTAAGGAGCTCCTCACGCCTCCAAATAATAATATATCTAACACGAAGTCCACCCGCAACATCCCTCGAAGACATACAGTAGGCGGCCCTCGCAGTTCCAAGGAAATCCTGGGAATGCAAACGTCAGAAATGGACAGAAAGAGAGAGGCCTTTCTAGAACATCTCAAACAGAAATATCCCCATCATGCTACAGCAATAATGGGACATCAGGAAAGACTGAGAGATCAGGTATGAAAGTTACACGCGCGTCTTGCTTTTCTTAAATGATCTAGGTGACTGCTACAAAGCTGAATGTCACCTCTGTGCAGAAAGTGAGAGTGTAACGGAGCACAAACAGATCCATGATGTTGATATATTCCAAGAACTACCTTTCCCCTTGACACTCAAAGAAGTGATAATAGAATTATAACTTCTAGATAGAATAATAGGACAATAGGGTAATCAAGCTGTGCAATGTTATCTTTGAATTGYTTGTTGAAACCCACATTTTGGAAGAGTTTTAGATTTTTAGAWTATGGACAAAGAAAGCAATAAAGATGAGACTTGTTTTTAGAATATGGATCTCCACCTCTTTTCACAGCTCAAAAGGACATCTCGAGGAAAGTACGGAACAGTTATTAACTTTTGTTGTTACTAATTTTCAGTATTGGCAGCAGGGCTCAGGAGAAGACATCTGTAGACCATGTCCACATGCTTGAGCTGGCTCTGGTTCTTTTACATTTGTTTTCTTTACTGTTTTTGAATCTCTTCATACAAACACAGTGAAGTCTCCCGCAACCATCTGCTTTCTCCAAACGGTCCTGACACCAAGGCTGGCTGGTCGGAAATGTGCCTTAAGGTGGTTCGTGCCTTGACTGCCTGCAATTACCTTTCAACGGTGAAAAGTAGATTTAGGGTCATGGCAGATGTGGCACCTTGATGTATTTCTCAGAACAGGTGGAGGCTGCTGTCACGCCGACCTTTAGAATCTGGAAAATACAGTGCAAGGAATTGTTCACAGCCCAACTCTGCTCTGTTTTTGAGTACAGTGACAAAGCTTAATCTGTTAAACCATACAGAAAATAAGTGATTCAATTCAATAATCTAATAAAACAACAGAATTTAGGGTTCAGTCTTAAAATCTTGTGCTCATTATTCTCAGTTTAACAAATGCTTGGCAATAAATACTTTTTTAAAACATTTTGGTAGGTATGTCACCGCTATCAGCAAATTAATCATAAGCAAGAAAAAAGAAGAAAAAACAGGTTTGCAGAGTACAATGTTACAGGAATTCTKACTGAATTCTGACAGAATTCTTTTGAAGCCTTCTGAACCTTTGGGGATCAGAAAGTCACTACAGAGCTACAGAAAGATTGCCACTCAGTAACTCCCCCCCTTGCCAACATTTTCTCTTTGACAGGGACTTYAGAGATTCCAGGTGCTATTGCTGCTTTAGGACAGAACTGCTAGAATCCRTATATGGCCAGCTAAAATTCTGGCAAGTCTTCAGCTCTAATGAGGATGATCTACTCCTTATATTTTAAACAGCTTCCCCCCTTCCTTTGAAAGTCTTGATTTTTTTTTTCCCTCTTATCTCTTTTGTGAACTTTAGTGACTGTGTGGAATGTGCTGGGTGGTGGATAAAGATAGCGTACAAATTAAATAAGGGGTGAGGGGTGGCGGGGGGGGTGAAATCCAGAGATTAGATCTTTTGGAGTCATGTAAATATTTAGTTCCAGTGTTGCAGACACTGCAAGCCCAGTCTGAACAGCCTACAGCATTACACCCTACACATTTTGTAATATGATCCTTTTCTCAAGCTAATAAATTACAGAAGGAATGCAGTAACCGTTCCTGCTATTTGTTTAAAATGTGTCATCCTTGCTAATTTATTGAGGGTAAAATTCATGTGAATGTCTCTTGCTTCTATTTTTTGATGATTAGACATATGTATTGTATGTAGTAAGTGTAAATTTTAAAACAAAATCACCCTACAATTTCTGTTAGAGCATCAAACCATCTTTCTTGGGCAACTGAAAGACTAAATACCCCATTCATTCACCATAACTTAAAAAAAATCATAAACAGAAGCCTTGTTTAAAAAAAATGTACAGAAATAAGTTATTCCACTTCATCTTAAGACTGTTACTTAGTTGACGTGTGACAAAAACGTCTGGCTCATCAGATGCAATAGCAGATTGTTATGATCATGACCTTGCACTTCTGAGTGGCTTTCCTGAACATTTGTTTCCTGTCATGCACACCATGTGTCTGTGCTTATACATATGTATATAGATGGATGCATATGCACAGGCATATGTATGTAGATACATAAATAATTGAGCTTCATGGATGAGAATGTGATGTAATTTTCCTTAGGGGTGGAGAATATAACTCAATTATTTYGTGTACGTGGATAGCAGTATAGAAGACAAATTAGCTATGCATGTTGCAGGTATGTGCGTATAAAATCTGTAAGGTACKTGGGAAGACACGAATTAAGAAGTTAGGATTTATTCTTTAGACTGCTTTCCTCTCTTTTTGCTTCTGTAGCTGCTTCAATATCTGGAAAGTGCCAACATTACCTGTGGTGGGAATTTCCCCAGTGCGGGAGATCTATCATTTACCGATACAAGCACCAGCTTCTAATATCTCTGTCAAAATGATGCAGCTGGAACATAAAACAACCCAATATTTACAGTCAGGAGACATTCCCTCAGATATCATRCGATTTGTCTTCTAGGTTGCTCTAAGCCCTGTCAGATCCCTAACCAACAAAAATGGGCCAGAATAATCGGTATCAGTAACTGCCTCTTCTGTGGACCTTTCCCCTTTTCCTCTCTCTCAGTCAACAGAATTTGAGCACAGCAAAGTGACCCTGGTTTATGGCAAGTAAATGCTAGGAGGAAAATCTGTTTGATGCTGTCAAATGATGTTGTTTTATCAGCTCTGGCAGCGAGGCCGGTGCTGAATCTCGCACTGCGTATTAACGCTTCCCTCCAAGCTCTGTTTATTTAGGTAGCTCCCCTGCTGGACGTGCCTCCTCAGGTCCCCTTCCTCCATGGGATCTCACCACAAACCGGTTGGGGAAGGGCAGCAGGCAGCTGGAAATGAGAGAAAGCAAGGAATAAAACGGTGTTGAACTGGGGTTTGCCATGGTGCAGACCACGCGCTGCCGAGCGTGCCAAGCAGAAGCTGGGACAGTGGCCGGGAGGGCAAGAAAGAATTTGCGGTGAAAAGGTTAAAAACRCTAACCTGGCCGTGGGCGGGGGTGAGCCCTGCTGCAAACCTGTTCTGCAAGTCCCCAGGTGAAAAAAAAAAAAGAACACGTTCTGAGACACAGAGAGCAAAAATGGGAAGTTCTGCACAGGCAGAGACTTGGAGCGTGCCCGTAGCAAGGGCGCCRAAGCCTGTTTGCCGCAGGCCTTTGGTCACCGCTGCTTAGTAGTGGGGTCAGTAACAACTCCTGGCGTTTCATCCAGTGCTCGGGGACGAAGAGAGCGACCGGCTTTGGCTTCGGAAAGCTTTAAATCCAGCCCTCCGCCGTGTGCAGCGCGGCGTGCCGGGAAAACGGTGCCGGAGCCGTGTTGTGGGGTCTGGCCGTGACAGGTAACTTTGGCATCCGGGCAGGTGTGGTGGTTGGCGTTGCCATGGCGACYGGTGATGTCAGGCTCGGCAGAGCGTGTCCAGGCGGCTCCTAAACGTGTAGGTGCCCGGCAGGTCCCATAGGCTGCGCCGAAGCCGTATGCAAATCCCAAGGTTGCGCTGCAAGCGGGCCAGGGAAAATACGGGCCAGCTATGGAGCGCCTCCGACCCGGCGGCTTTAAGGGATTATTACGGGCTTCGTCGTGAAGTGAAACTTTTGGGACTAAAGGAAGGGGATTTCAAACCTCCACTCTGGCTTCACCTGTGGAATCGCACATTTAGGTAAATGCGTCCCTTTCTCGCTCGGTCCTTCCTGAGAAAGCTGCTTTTGGAAGGCTGGAGTTTGCAGCAGCCTGKGGGGCCTCCTGCCTGCGGCGCCGAGAGGCGGCACCTTCTCCCCTCGCCGCCAAAAGGAGACCCTTTCTTAATAAAGTCTCCTTGTTGAGTGACCCGAGACTTCCATTACCTGAAAGGCATTGTAATGTGGTATGTTGATTAACTGAATCATGCTGCAAAAATGTCCTAGGTAGTGTTATGGAGAACAAACTAAGAATCGAGACACTGCTTATTTGTAGATTATTGCCAGATGTCTCTCCTGCAACCGTTAGAACAGAACCTGTAAATTGCAAGGATGTTTATTCCAGCATCTGAAATCTGTGAGAAAGCAGAAGAATTTGTTTTTAATTGATCAGAGTATCTGTTGGTTAAAGTGCCTCTGAGTGCATGCTTTGATATCCCAAAGAAAATGACAGGCATTTCTTTTTTTTTTTTTTTTCCTTTGTAAAAGTACACCTCGTACAGAGTAAACATATTGGGAGGTAAAAGTCCAACAGGAATTCTCATGCGATTTTTATTTTCTAGGTATAAACGAGGGAGCATATTTTTAATTCCATTTGAGAGAGAGTAAAATTCCCGTGTTTTTTGTCGTAACAACTTTTGTACTTAAAACATTTAAGACAGGTCAAGCAAACACATTTACCTGAGGGGCAGTCTGCTTTTTGGCATTGCTGGGATAGAATAATTCTAAGCAGGTTTTGTTCTGTAGAGTTTAGTTAGTTTAGTTGGTTCAAATCCCTGAGTTTGAAAGGGCCTTGTTTTAGGTGGGATAGGGTGGCTGGCAGTAGTTAATGGCCAAGCTAAAAGAATTAAAAGCAGAAAAATCAGAGGTTCTGCCAAAAGACACCTGAGAAATGTAAACTCGAGAGAAATGTGATCACTGCATGGAAAATCCTCAGCAGGATTTAGCTGAGTGAGAAGGCTGGAGAAAATCTTAAGCACGTTATCTAATTCCAGGTGAAAAAACAGTATATAAATGATTTCTGACATTCTGCATTTCTTGATCAGGCAAGGTAAAATAAGCATTTTGAGGCCATGTATTGATTATCAAAGCAAATGGATTTGCGTGGAAGACAAAGAGAAAAAATCTCTAGCTAAAATGGTTTTTGGTCATGGTTCTTTTACTTCTATAGTCCCAGATTATATCTTGAAACAAAGTCAGTTACAGAATTAATTTCAACTTAACCTTTCTCCAAAAGTCCCTGTGTTAATTATTTAGTGCTAAAACATGCATAAATGACACCATATCAAAAGAACTAGTATATTTT